CCTCTATCCTCCCTCTCTCTTTCTGGAATGTGCTGCTCAGAAGCAGCTGAGTAAAGGAATGTTGCTGTAACAAGCCCATGCACAACCCTGAAGGTAGGGAGGCTCCCTGCACCCACTCACAGAACACAAATAAAAAAAATCTCCCTCCGCTTTAGCAAAGATTCCCACTTCCTCACGTTCTGCTCATCCGCGAGGACGAGAGGAGCATGAAGATGCATGTTTGAAAAGCGGGGTGAAATGGGAACGCGCGGTTGGCACACGCAGTCGTGTAGTAGTGTAAAAAAGATGTACCCTGTGGGCCCTTAAAGGAGAGGTAGGTTACACAACCACACCAAGCCCCTGCCTGATTCAGATATCGGTCAGTATTAATTAACGGTGTGGGCCGGTATTACTAGGCGACATGATCGCTGTCATGCTTTGTGACTAATAGGAGTTACAGCAGCAGATTGGGTAAGAATAATAATAAAAAACGATTGATAAAGAGGCAGAAAATGCATCTCAGCTTCAATGTCAGAACTCGTTATGTGGAAATGAGTTTGATCATTTTCCTTTAATCTCATCTGTTTCTGCAACACTGTGCTTAAAGGCGTTTTTTTATTTTATTTACTATGATCAATAACTTAGAATATTATTGAAAAGTTCATTTATTTCAGTAACTCAATTCACTAAGTGAAACACAAATACAGGGTGGGCCATAAGTTTCCATACATAGGAGAATGTAAAATGTATATTTCTTTTATATTTCAGATGCCCAAGAAGATGCGTTTGACAAAAGAGCTAAGAATTGAAATTGTACTTATGGCTGAATCGGGAAGCGGTCGCATGGTTGCACGAAACTTTAACAGAAAACATGGAACGAGCATCACACACACACGACACTGTGGCAAAACTTATTTGCAAGTTTCAGAAAACTGGAAATGTTGCAGATCAACCACGAAGTGGTCCAAGACGTGCAGTGATGACACAGAGTCCCACAAAAATAAAAACGGTTGTCCAATATGAAATGTTTTTTTTTTTTTTCTCTGTATGGAAACTTATGGCCCACCCTGTAGATTAACTGCACACAGATGGGGATCAATGTTTTCTGTTAATTATGAAGTATAAATACATCATAATTATCATGATATATAATTAAAATTTATTTCAGGAATTACAACAACTGAACAATTAGATTAGAATATTGACACATACCAATAAGAATCATTTTTAGCACAGAAATGTGGGCTTAAAAGTATTTTTATTATGCTTGCTTAAAAATTATTTTAATGTGTTTTTTTTTTTTGTTTTTTTACCATTTGTCATGTTTTACCTGTAGATCAGATAGTTCAGATTTGGTCAGAGCGTCTTTAAAGGATGATCATTTCCAGTCGAAGATTGCTCTGTGAGACGTTCAAAAGCTTGGGATGTTATTAATCCAGACTTCTTTGAATTTCCGTACATCCGTCTCTCTGACCTGCCTGCTGGGTGTCTGATCTCTATTCTGCTTCTGCTGCCTCCAAAAATGATAATTATACACACTTAGAGTCTGTTTACCAATTAGTTAGTGTCTCAAGGTAATCAGATGCTTTTTATTTTAATTAGGGAGCAAAGGAATCAGCGCACAGAGACATGCAGCATTTTGTAGATCCATGTGAAAACCCTGCATCATCTTATTTTCTCTTGGCAAACAAGCATTGGTCACATAAAGTGCACTGAATTTTACGGCTGGAATGTAAAGAAGGTTTACAGGTATTAATATATATTTTTTTCAAAGCACTTATATGAGAAAAAAGGCAGAAAAACCTGCTTTTTCATATATTTGTGCTTCAAGTAGTTTTAAAGTTAAAGATTCCTTTGAGCACATTACATCCAGACCAGGATTTGTATTTGCTGCAGCCATAAACCAAACGCCATCTCATCCAATAGAAATACTTAAGAAAGAAAGAAACTTTATAAATCCAATTTAAACGCAGAAAGCCAGATTCATTTCCAGCAGGTTTTTGTCGCTCTTTTAAAAAGAAATGTTATCTGTCGAGACCTTCAACCTGAAAAGAAGAAGAACAAAAAATGGTTCTGGTGAAGGCGCTTCAATCTTGCTAGATTTTGTAAGCTTGTGTACTTTTCCAAAACTCTGAAATAATACAGAATAATGCTTCTTTAGGAATTTGCTAAAGTGCATATGTAAAGTTCTGCAGACATCTCTTCATAATATTCATCCTGGAAGGTCTCAGGACACGTCTCTGGATGTCTAAACTTAGATTTAACTTTAAGATACTCTGCATCATGAAATCTTATATTAATGGTGGAGCATAAGCCTGTCTACTTAATTATCCATCCATCTATTTCCTTGACCTCCTTAATGTTGCACAGGGTTCCATGTGGCTGGTGCTTTCATCCTGCAGTCATCAATTTAATTACATCCAGAAAGTTCATTACAGCACAGAGCGACTGCAGCGACTAAAAGACAGAATCCGCAAAAGGTGTTTATATAAAATATAATGCCTAGTATAGAGAAACAAAAGTGTCAATCCTTTAAATGGATCAAAAATATGATTTATTCAGATCAGTACTGAAACTGCCAAGTCAGAAATGTTGCTCTTGTACTGCTTTTTCTGTATAAAAACTGACTTGACATTAAAACTATTTATTTTTAAAATATAAAGATATTTAGAATGTCATTTCCAGCAGGCAAGACACTGATTGGTCATCACTTCTCCACAGCTCTCGACAAGCAAAACTTAAAAATCCCATCAGATGTCTCTTTGAGAACATTATCGCCTTCGGAGTGGTTTTCCTCCTCAACAAATTACAGTTATGCAAAAAAAAAAAAAAAAAAAAACTCTCAGGCTGTAAAATCTCCATTACTTCACAGGGCAACACATTGACAAAACCACAACAGCTACCATTGTAGTCATTACCTCATGGCACGCAGTCACACAAACAGTGAGTTACTTGTTTATGAAGACGAGTACATTACCCTAAAACAGAGTCATGTCTCCATGGTGTGTTTGTGTCCGTACAGCAACAGCGCGCACTCACACACTCTTGGCTGCAGCCAGGCGGCGGTGGTTAGATGCTCTGTCAGATTTAGACCTGTAATTACTGCTTTAACTTCTGGGGACTATATATTTGTGAGTATGTGTCTGTGTGAAGTCGCCAATCTAAATATACTTTTAAATGCCAGCATGTAGCAGGTTTACTGTTATGGTCCTAACAGCCTCTTGACTTTTACTAATCAATTAAAACGCCAAAAATGCTTCAAGACCACGTGACTGTGAACTCCAGTTTTTTTATTGTATTTTTTTTTATTGTCCATTTGCACCACTTAGTGGCCAATGTGAGATTTGTTTACTTTTCAGCTCCTGGGATCCAAATTCTGAAATCCTCTTCTCGTGTGAAAGATAAAACTATAAACAAAAAGCTACCTTTTAAACATCAAAATGTTTATCCATCTGAAATCCAAATGAAGAGATAGGCTATCTGCTATCATTAGACGGGCTCGGAAAAGAAAAAAAAAAGAAAAGCAAGCAATGAAAGGGAGAAAAGGACATCGAAGTTAGCATCCGATTCAAAATCCGATGTTAAATGAGCGAAAACAGAGCCTTCAGAAGCTACAAGTCGTATGCCAACTTCAGCTCATAAAGGCAATGGAAGCCGCTCAGTTACGCTTTCTAAACTAAACTGTAACTCAATTTTCTCTAGTTCAACATGCACCAGGTTACCGATTAATCCAACTGTGATTTAAAATTAAGCTACTTAATAATACACTTTGTTTCAAATAGCTACTTTAGAAGTAAGTGGGAAGATAGTCAAACATTTCGTCACATAACATGACATAGCAGCGATTAAGCTGTACTGAAGTACAACGATTATAAACTGACAACTCATAACATTATGAATTTCATCATATAACCCTTATTCATTTTGTACTAATTTGCTTATAAATAAATATATAACGATAATAAAATAAACTTAACGAAAAATGATGACCAAAAATGAAAAACTAACTAAATTCATTTATAACACATAACATAAAGACTGTATGGGGTTACTTTTGACCCATATTGTAGATGAAAAGGTTTAAAAAAGTGCCCAGCTATTGTCCCTATAGGCCGGTTTCCTGCCAAAATGTGTCTAAAACTGGAGACAAATAGGGAGAAGACCCGTGGAAGTGACATGAAGTCATTACTTTCGACAGCCCCTTATTTCTTTCTGCTGCTGCCTGGAGCTTTAGCAAAAACAAAGAGATTAAATGCAAGTGAAGAAGTTATTCTGACTTCAGTAGTTTTGTTTAAATGTCTGTCTTTTAACACACAGCAGATGCTACAGCCAGCTGCTTCCTGCTGGAAACTGCTGATGGCCCAGGAATGACAAAACAGAAAAGCAACCAAATTAGTGAAACATCTTTTTACAGTGTTAAAATGTCTTGCCTTCGTGCTCTGTGAATTTCTGAACACTTTTACACGGTACTGTACTTAATGTATATAGATAAGATAAGTTATCAGGCAGGTAAATGTATTAAAAAAACATTTTTTTCCTCACTTATGCAGATTTGGTGTGTGTTTAAATGCTCTTTTCTTAATGCACAGGAACCCCGAATAAACGATTCATCTCTGTGGGAACAACTCGCAAAAAACAGTAAACCACAATCAGGCAATTCATGTTTGTTTTTAATGAATATGAAAAACTTTGACACATTTTGTGGCACAAATGTACTGCAATAAGGTTTGGCGACACAATTAAACCTATAAAATACATATATAAATTAAATAAATAAAATTCTGGACAACGTTAACTCACACTGAGTACAGAACAAAGAGACTCGAATGTTTTTCCATCTAATGCACGTGGATTTCAAACGGTATAAACATGTGCAGTCGACGTGACAGAGCGGGGCAGGAGTTGCGATGAAACGTTTGTGGCGACAGCTGATTTTGGAAATTTGTGGGGGTGGGGGGTTTAACTCGCGTGTGCTTCGATTCAGTCTCTTTAGGTTCAAGTAAAAATGAATCACTACAAAAACGTGTTCTCGCTGAGGAGCGCTGCGTTCGGCTTCCCTCGAGTCCTGAGCGCCTCGTGTCATGGCTCTGGTTTTAGTTTATCACAAGACACTCAAGAGGAGGAACACACACTCACACACACACACACGCGCGCACACACACTCACTCACTCACTCACTCACTCACACAACTTCAGTCTGATCTAGGTCTGTATTTCTAAAGAATGTCAAAGTATTTAAAGTGTGTACAGACAGATTTTCTGTAAATATTTCAGCACTAACGTCTCAGTTCGTCTGGACGACGCACGGTCATCTGCAGCTGTTTCATCATCGCCGTGAAGAGGAAGGATTTCACGACTCTGCAACAAGCAGAAATATAAAGTAAATGTCAAAAACAAGCTGGAAAATGATTACAAAAAGCCACGTGGATTAGCTGTACCTATGACTTCAGGCGCATCGTCAGTCAGCGAATCAGAGTTCATCACATACTTGGTGCCAAAGATCTGCACCAACTGCTCAAAATATTTGCACTCTTGTTTATCCCCTCTGAAGTACAGGAACAGAAAGGAATAATTGTAAGTAGTACAAAAAGCTCGGCGGATAAGAGTCGTACAGTAGATTATGCGCTTACTGTCGTCCCTCCAGGAACTGTCTGAAGTTGGCCCTCAGCCTCTTCACCCTGGACTGACACTGTTCAGGGGAGCGGAGGTAGCCCTGGCTGGCCATGACCTGAGATATCTGCTTGTAGATGCTTTTGTTCTTGTTGCCACCCTTCAGATTCTCCTGGATCTCAGCGCTGCCCCAGATGTCCAGCAGGGCCTCAGTCTCTCCGTCCCCCCAGGCCATCTTGGAGCTGTCGGCCAGCCAGTGGTTACCTGAAGCTATCGAGGAAGCACACAGAGACAGCAATGTTTCTCTGAGGAACAACGTCCATATGGCATGAAATATGCAAAACTTTACTTGGGGGAGGAAAAAAGCAATTAAATGACAGATAAGGTGATTTAATTACTTTCCACATTGTGGGATTTTACAGTATAGACAAAACACAGTGCGAGATTATGAAGTGGAATAAAATGATGCATTTAAAATTTTTGTTATACACATTAAAAGATGGAAAACTCTGTCACGCATTTGTATTCAGAACCACGTTTCGCTGCAGTTACAGTCTTGTGGTGTCATGTCTTTAAAATCCTTGCATGTCTTTAGACAGAAATATTTACTCGTTCTTTGCTAAATCTAAACTTTAAGAATGAACGATGGGGCTTTTTCTTAGCTGCACTCTGCGGTTGAGGGTTCAGAGAAATTTCACATCTTAAAAATCCATACTTATCTACCCAGACTTCTGTTTAGAATACTGAGAAAACAGAGTCTGGAGGGAAGAAAGGAAGTGGAACAGGGCAAAAAGTAACAGAAGGAAAGACACAAGGTAAGGAAGCAGGAGGAAGAAATTGCATAAGAAAGGAAGGAAGAAATTTCTTCCTCCCTTATAAAAAACACAAAGGAGCGCAATGACAATTTAAAATGCAAAGACCAGAAAAAAAGTGGTATTGGACACAGATCAAGGAAGGAAAATAGGAACTTTTAGACTATGGAATAAGGAATAAACTCTGAAGATGCTAACATTCTCCATACAATTTCTTTCCCCTTTCTTTTCCAGAATGACCCTGAAGTTGCCCTGTCAATAGAGTGGAGTGGATCTTATTTATAAAGAGGGTAGAATACAAATTCATTCCCCACTTTTCAGATTTTTGCTTTGCAAAACGTGCTAAAAAGAAAAACGTCCTCACAAATATTCACTGCCAGTGCCATCTCTTAAGGTACTTAGTCAGAAAAATGTCTCCATTTTACCTTTCGCTTGGTGCGCTTCAGAAGCAAACTCATCCGCTTCGTCCACGGTGAACGGGTTGACAGCAGAGTCGTCCATGTTCAGGTCCTTCCTAAAGATTTTGTCCATTTCATTGAAGAATTTGAATTCTTCCCTGGGTTTAAAGGGAAATAAAACACAAAATCATCAGCAAACAACCAAACGACAAACACAGTGTTACAGTTTGACTCACTTTTCGTGGACAAAGCTGTATTTAAGGCGCTTCATGCGGGTGTAGCACTGCTCGGTGGTCCTGATGAAGCCGTGGTTGCTCAGCTTCTCTGAGATGTACTCAAACACGTGTCGGTTCTTCAGGCAGCCCCTCAGGGTGAGCTGGACGCTGTCCTCACCCCAGATCTCCAGGAGGGTGCGAGTCTCAAGGTCGGACCAGGGCGTCTTTCTGCTCATGTCCGTCAGGATGTGGCTGGTCGAGGGCTGCTCGTCTAAAACAAGGAAAAACCCTGAATTTTGAAAGATTTCTTTGTCGAAACGAGAAGGCTTCATCGCATTGATACGTACACATCACAGGATCGCGGTCCATAAGAGGCTCTACGGCGGCATCAGTGGTCGCACCGTCTACGTCTGCGAACGCCAGTTCGTTGCCGAGCACCGGGGCAAGGAGGTCGAAGTATCGAAACACCGCCGGCCGCCCTCCGTTTCTGGAAATCATTGGATTTCTTTTAAATACGCAGGAAAATGAAAACAATAAAAAATAAAAAAAATAAAAAAATGATCTGCTTCCTGTACCTGCGGCTGTTGCAGTAGCGCCTGTACGTCTTCTTCAGCCGCTTGATCCTCAGCTGGCACTGCTCCGCCGTCCTCAGGTAGCCGTAGGAGGCCAGCTTCTCGGATATGTCCTCGTACACGTGGCCGTTGCGCATGGAGTTCTTCAGGCTGTGCTGCACGTCGTCGGCGGCCCACACCTCGACGAGGGCCACCGTCTCCTCCTCCGACCACGGCGCGTTCGTCTGTTCATCTGAAGAGCCTGCAGGCGGACGAGACATCCGGAGATCCGTGGGACGTTGCCGCTTGTTCCAAAGCGACGGGAACGCACGTACGTTTAGAGGCGGTACCTGGATCCACGGCGACTTGATCGTCCCGCTCGTCAAACTCGTCGATGCTCATGGCCTCCTGGCCCAGGATCTGCTCCAGCTGGTGGTAGAACTTGTAATCCATTTTTCTCCCACTCCTAGAAAGAGCAAATTGATTTTTTTTTTTATTTTTGTCAATTGTCTCAAAAAAGGGTTGACATAGAATCTGGAAAAAAAAATAGCACCGTATTTTTCCAAGTCGCGAAGAATTCGGAGAAAGAAAATATCTACTCTCCTTCCTCATAGGAATCAGCATTTAATGCATCATTTGTTATGCTAAATTTGTTATTATGATCTGAAGTTTTATTTTTTTCTTTCACAAGAAATTTCAATTAATGATGTTTAAATTCCTCCCCAAAATGTCAGTATTGTTGGGCAATTTTTTCCACTGTTTGTTCAATGAGAGCTTTAAAAAACATCAATAAATCAGGAAGTACGATTAAATGCGTAGTTTCTTCTTTTTTTGTCATTCCTTCCCGTGTACGTTTTTTTTCTAGCCTACATATAGAAAACCTGAATATAGATGCATCAAAACGCAGAAATATCTGTCATATATCTACAGTAAAAGATTATGTTTAAGGTTTTTAAAGGACTGAGGAGAACAGGCGAACAGAGAGGAAGATCTCACTTCTTCCTGTCATAGCACTGCCGGAAGTTGATCCTCAGCGACTTGACTTTGGAGCGGCACTGCTCCGGGGTTTTGGAGAAGCCGAGGTCGTGCAGCCGCTCCGAGATCTCGGCGTAAACGTGCCCGTTGTGGATGAAGCCCCTCAGGGCCCGCTGGATGTCCACGTCGCCCCAGATCTCGATAAGAGCCAGGGTTTCCTCGTCCGACCAGGTGTTGGTTGCTGGTTTTTCTGCCGACAGCTCCGGGCTCTCTCCATCTGGTGCAGAACAGGCAGCACTGGTTGTAACACTGTGTGACTTGTTGACTCCATGCAAGTAAAACCTAAGAAAAGTCACCTGAGTCTACAGTCATATAAGAGGTGAACACAAGAAAAAGTACGTAATTTTATTGAATCGTTATATGAATTGTTATGTGGATGTTTAGTGATTTAACCTGAAGTGATTATTGATTCTTTTTTTTTTTCATTTTAATTAGTTTTCAGTTTGCAAAAAAAAAAAAAAAACTAAAATCAAACCCTGGAAAATAAAGAAAAACTGAGTTCAAACAAAGGCCTCCAACCTCTGAAAGGAATCAGATGAATATTGAAGATAACTTCAATATTAAATTACGCAACGATGTGCCATCAGACTTTGTATTTAGTTTGTAATATATTGGGGGTGATCTATTAAAGAGTTGAAAGTCTTAACAAGCTGCAGCAAACCAAAGATTGTTATTTTTGTCTGTTCCACAAAACCCACAAGGCTTCCTTCTTCCTTCACAAAGTAAGATTTGCTCTTTAAATTAGAAAAGAAATTGAAGGAAATTTCCTTATTTGGGTGCATTTGGGTGAAAGTTAGCAAATTCTTCTGCATATTTATGAGGATTTTAAGAAGCTCCTACTACGATAGGAGTTGGTAGTAATTCTGGGACTGCTGACCATTTTTTAGCAACGGGGAAGAAAAAACAAATGACGTGGAAAATTTAGAGCCTTAGTGTATGAAGGTCGTGAAGTCCAGTGCCGTAAAACTACAGAAAGGGAAGAGGTCGCCCACCTCTCTCTGTTCCAGACTCTCCATTGGAGTCTTCTGATATTTCAATAGAGTCGGTTATGATGGCGGACGACGTCGACGGCTGCTTGTCCAGAATCTGCTCCAGCAGATCGTAGAATTTAAAGTCGACTCGGTCCGTCCCAGATGAGCTGCAGATATGAAACGAAGTTATGAGCACCTGAAAATTTAAAAAAAAAAATCACAACGATCGACAACGTTTCAGTTGTTTTCACCTCATGTTTTCTTTACACTGGCGGTAGGCGGCTTTCAGACGCTTGATCCTGGTGTGGCACTGCTCCGGGGTGCGGGAGTAACCGTTGGCATTCAGCTTCTCCGACACCTCGGTAAAGATGTGTCCGTTGTGCGGGTACCGCCTCAAGCACTGCTGCATCTGAACAGTAAAGTTTAGAGATGTGGCTTTGAGAAGCAGCTAAACAACGTATTCAGTTAATAAAAAACTGGGTTTAGACCAGTTAATGGGAGTAATGTGGATCTTGCATGAACAAACTGGGCTCTCTACCTGAGGGTCACCCCAAACCTCCAGGAGGATGATGGTCTCTTTGTCGGACCACGGCACTTTCTTTCGGTCCTCCTGAACTCCCACAGCAGACTCTGGAGACACAAACATTAACCCGGGATTATTATCAGCACTTATGCTAGCAGCCGCGTCTCTCAGTCGGGGTCGATCAGTTCGAATTTTCCATGTAGAAATGACTTGGGAGTCTGCAGGGAGAAAGACTGGTTCACTAGTGGAAAATATTCAGGATTGTTGACATTCCTTCCAGGAGCGGAGAGTCCCAGCAAATTCCACATGCAGATCAAAATGCTGAGCGGTCAGAAAATTTCCAAAAATAATCCGAGCGGAGCGCAAAGAGCCGGTTCTGTTGGGAAAAAACTTTGTGGGAATCTGAGCAAAGTTTGCGTTTGCAGTGTTGCTTCCTAGGGGAAAACACCCTAATTCAGGAAACAAAAAAAAAATAGTTTGGTGTAGGACTTTAAAAATAAACATTGCAATTTCTGGAAACTATGGATTTTAGGTAGGAATGCGGATCACGACTTTGATCTGAAATATCATAGGTGATTTATTTTCAACGTCTTTTGATTGGTTGTTGTTGTGTAAGAACGATTTCACATCCTGTCAGCAACATTTGACGTAAAACCTGGTTCCAACCGGCAACTTCCAGGAAACCAGAAAAATCCTGGCAAAAGAAAAACAAGCTCTGCTGGGAATGCCGTGGTTGCAGGTATTCGATTTATAGAGTAATTCAGTGGGTGAAGAATGTAAACTTTACAGTATTATATTACTAATCAATAAATTAGTCAAGTTTATCAACAGATAAAATGGCAGGCCAAATTAGACGGACTTCTGCCTGTTTATTAAAGATAATTATAAACCTTTTACCGATGTTATGGTGACTGAAGGAAGGAAAGTCGCCGTCGTCGTCCTTCATCGACATGTCGTCCAGCTGCATCACCGACTGGAAGTCCTTGACTAAAATCCTTCCCAGCTCATTGTAAAACTTGCACTGAACTTGTTCCTGTCCTTTCAAACTAGAAAATATCAACAGAAGAAAGGCACATTTAAATATCACAGAGAACATCACACATGCTCCTTTCATCCCTCCCTGTGCGAGGGGACGTACTTGTTTTGGTAGCACTGCCTAAAGCTGGATTTGAGCCGTTTCAGTCTCGTCTGGCACTGCTCCGGCGTGCGGGAAAAGCCCAGGGCGGCCATCTTGCTGGATATGATGGAGAAAAGGTGTCCCGTTCGGTTCCCCCTCAGGTCCTGCTGCATTTTGTCGGTGCTCCAAATGTTGATGAGGGCCAGGGTCTCCATGTCTGTCCACGGCACACTTCGAGTTCCTGGCACGACAAAAGCAGCTGGGTGAAAAACGACCGGTTTGCTTCTCTTTCGCAATATTCAGGTTTGCAGGTTGGAGAAAAGGACTAACACTTTAAATTTCTCATTAAATAAACTGAGATTCAAACGAATGACGTGAATGCAACATTGTACCGATTTCCAGCTGGCCGGAGTGTCCGATAAACTGCAAGTCTTCTTCGCCGTCTTGGGTGTCGTCGTCGTCGTCGACGACTTCCTCCACGTCGTAGGTTATCTCGGGGAGAGACGAGGCGGACGACGAGCCGATGATCTGCTCAAGCTTTGAGTAAAATTTATGGTCCGGCCTCGAGTTCCCTCTGATGGTAGATAAGGAACGAGCGTTTTGTTTTTTGATTTTTTTTCTGTATGCAGATCACTCACATTTTCTCCAATGCTTCATAAATGAAAGAGGAGCGTTACTTGAGGCTCTGGCGGAAGCATTTCTTCAGTCGTTTGATCCTCGTCTGGCACTGCTCCACAGTCCTCATGTAGCCCCTCTCGGCCATCTTCTGCGCGATTTGAGTAAATATGTGGCGGTTCTTCAAGCAGCCCTTCAAGGCCTGCTGCACCGAATCCTTCCCCCAGATGTCAAGCAGATGGAGCGTCTCTTCATCTGACCAGGGGACCTTTGAGTCCATCAGAACGGGGAAGGAACGTTCCTGAGAGTCTAAAATTAGACACAGCCCATTCAGTGGCTGGTTTATTTAACAGTCGAAACTCTGCACACACAAACGGCACAAACCTGTATATTCTCCCCATATGGAGATCAGGGGAGATTCACCTGAATTCTCATCATCCACTGAGGAGTTTCTGCAAAAGTGGGGGGGGGGAAAAAAAACTACAAACATGAAACATGCATTTCATGCGTTATTTAAGAAACGAACTAAGCACGTCTGTTTTTCTCTTACAGGACGGCCGAAGCCTCGGCGTTGTGCTTCCTGGGAACGTCCACGCCTCCGCTCAGCTTCCTCTTTCTCGAGCTCTGAGAGCCCAGCAAGCTGTGGGCGCTCTCGCTGGCCTCCGAGTCCGAGTCCGCCCCCTCGTTGGAAACGGTGAGGTCAATGGTTTCGCTGCACGGCCGCGTCGCGCTCGACATTTTCCGTTCCTGAGAAGTGTTCATGTTCCTGACCTGCAGCTGCCAAGCGCCGGACTCCCGCTCCTCCCTCAGCTTCTGTCTCAGCGCGTCAGAAGCCCTCGTGCTCGGCTTCTCGTGGCCGCTGGTGTTGCTCGCGGCTCCAAGATGTGCTGGAGGGGTCGAGTCATTCGCTTGGGCAGGAGACTCGGAGGTGGCTTTAATGACGGGTCTGGTTCCAGGAGGCAGCGAGAGGGAGGAGAGGATGCAGTCATCCATTGGTAAAAGTTCTGGATCTGCAGGGTAGTAATAATAATAATAATAATAATAATAATAAAAAGTGACCAAAGTTTGGTTGAAATCTAGCGTTTCGCTTTGATAAATCAAAGTCCCACCTTTTTCTTCAAAATGGCCGAGGTTCTTGTGGTGATCAAGTAAAGCCTTCATGTCATCTGGTGGGAAAAATGTTCGTAAACAGTCTTCAAGAAATGTAGGGACGTCTGTCAGCAAAGCTGCCAACTGAGAAGAGAGATTACATTAGTGCATTTATTACACATTGTTGTTTTGTTTTTTTTTTTGTTTTCATTTTTGATAGCCGAAAGAAACAATTGTTTTGCAGCTTCCAGGTCGTCCATGACCATGAAAATGTCTCTGGATTGTGGAAGATTCATCCTAAGCATCTGTTTCTTTACAATCTGCAAAATCTTCTACAATCTGGTGGGTTTTATTTTATTGTTAATGTTGTGGTGTTGTCTTAGTCTGATTTAGATGCACTGCATTGGCTGAAAATTAAAATTGCATTTAAAATCATCCAATTACACTTAAACAGCCTAAATTTAAAAGATAGGTGTAATCAGTGTTGCCTATTTAACGCGGTGATTTCCTATGCTGAGATAACTAACAGGGTTTGTGATTGTGCTTTTCTCCAGAGACTCTCTGCTACAAAAAGAAGGATTATGAGGAAGAGTCTACTGGGACAGTGAGGCCGATCTGCTCCCAGTTAACCATCCTCCTCCTTTCATCACACCTGAGCCCTCAGTGCTCAGGATACATCACACAGTTTGGATTAAAGGAGACAAAAATGTGTCACATTTGGCTTTGGACCATCAATATACTGGAGTCAAATGCAACACGCTGCAGCTTTGTTTAATATAAGTGGTTAATAATGTCTTCTGTGCTCCAGATGAAGTAACAAAGCACCTGGTTGAAGTCTGGAATAGGCATTAGCTCATCCAGTCTTGATATGAACTCCCACACCAGCATCTCGAGGGCAGCGTCATACTTTGGGCCGAAATACACCGGGAAGATTTCCTGCAACAGAAACGAGCGTCAAGTCAACAGGAGGATTCACTTGGGAGAAACAGCTAACACCATTGCAATATCTGTATTTTTTTTTTTATTTAGCTCCAACCAGTGCGAAGCAGGCTGCAAATTAAATCCAAACATCAAAGATATAAATCGGTTTAAGAAGGAGATTCTCTGAATCTTCTAAATCATTTTTAGTTTAACAAGAATAAACATTGCAATCAGTGGTTTTAGGCAAGTTAACAAGACGTGCAGAATAGAGCACCGATGGAGGATTTGACCTTTGCTTCCCATGTGAATACGATGCTTAATCACCAGTGAAAAATCAGGAAGAAAAGCCGTCAGACATTTTGTTTTGCATCATTCCATGTATGCTGTTTTTATGCATGGGCCTTTTTCTAAATAAATATAAAGAATAAGAATATTTACAAGTCAACTGTGGCAATAATTACAACCCAAAGTGGTCGTCAACTCTTAGCTTTTGGTGTTCTGGGGATAGAACTGTGTGGCTTCAGTAGTGTTACGCTCTGGGCTCCAAAATGTGGCCTTAACAGTCCAGCGCTCTATAAATCATCGGTGCGTGAGATGGAGGAATGCAGACCGCGCATAAGGAGCATGTACTCGATACTGCCTGCAGTCAGCAGCGTGCTACGTGAATCTGTGCTACGACTGCTGTGATAAGATGCTTTTTATTTTTTTAAGTATGTAAATTTGAGTATGCAGTTGGCCTTTCTGTGATTGGTGGAGCCACGAGATGGACAAATACAGCTGCCTCCCATTTAAGTATTAAATATCTAAGTCTAATCTAAAAACACGTCGAAGACAAATTATTGTAAATTGTTCAACTGTGGGTTTTAGCTGCCGGAGGTCCGATGAAGACGGATCATTTTCATGTTGTGGACTAAATTCATCACCTTAAATTCCTGTTCGTTCCCAAAGAAAGTTTCAAGCTGTAAACATTTCCTGAAATTTGGCAGCCCTAACGAGCCATCCGTATCGAAACAGAACCAAAACACGCATTCAGTTTGCTAAACTATTGAACTTCAGCAGACTGCAGAAAGCATGTGAAGAGCCAGACGCAACTTTAGAAAAGAAATTAAAAAGCTACGACCGATTTAGGCAACGTGCTAGCAGAATATTACAGTCGCTTCCTTAACATGCAGAAGCAGCATATTAACCTGCAGAAAGCCCTAACAAGTCGTAACAAAAGTAAAAACAAAGGTGAGTCAAGTGCTATATAATAACCATATTATACTTTTTTTTTAAATTTATTGCAACTTAAAAGTACTAATATCCATAGCATTCATTTAAAGCAAACACAAACTGAAACATGTCATCCACAGATGTTGACATAAGTGAGAGGTCTTACTTGGAAAAAATATTTCCTCTCAGATGGATCTTCAAGTAATGAGTGCACCAGCTCAACAAAGTTCACCTCAGACTCCTCCACCTGGTTTATGGTTACCTGGAAAAAGGGAAAAAAACAACAACAAACAGATAAGTTGAAAACTGCAGATGTGACTCAGCTAACTGGGAGTCCTGGATTGCTCACATGGTGATCCTTGGCTGTGCTGACCGGAGCTTTTATCCTGTCCAGATGTGGCTGAATGGTCTGCATGTCCACTGGGTGATCTCCTCGACAGAGCTCCAGGACCAACTAGTTGCACAAGGTAGGTCATTTTACCGTTCGTAAAAGGTTACTACAGAGAATATAAGTGCGGATGTACAGGTGGTTCAAATTAACTAAACAAATACAGTTTGAAGAACCAAGTTGATGCTGATTTTATGCTTTATTTAAAAACAGCATCAGCAACATGAGTGCAGTATTTATTATGCATCATTAATCAAGAAAAAAGAAAGAAAAAGAAAAAACCCTCTACTGACCCTGGCCCTAAGGCCCAGGATGAGCTGAGCCCTCTGACTATAGCTCATCAGCTCTGGGACCAGCTCCGTCACCATGGTAACAAACTCCTCTAGCATCCCATAGTGGTCCACGAGTCCCCGTTGCACGACTTGCCACACTGCAGCCGACAGGAGCTGCAAGGGTGGGGCCAGGAGCCGCAGATAACGGACAGGGAGATCATTACCTGGAGACAAAACACGACGACGTCAACAAATACACCTCAGAATATTTAAAGAAGTTGTGTAAAATACCTCAGAGCTCAGAAAATTATTTAGAAACGCACCTGATGGAAATAAAAATGAATTGAATATGTGATCTTTGCAATTAAAGAAATATTATCAGCCGGTATATATTTTAATTTAAAGGAAAATAATCATAATGTTTGAGGCAACTGGCTCAAAATATGTTAAGATGTGTCACTGAAAACCACTTGTTTTAATTCTGAAAATAAATAAATACATCCAACAACACACTGTAATGCTAGTAGTGGATTTGCAGTGAGTATTCCTACACCTTGAACTTTTCCACATTTTGACATGTTACAACCACAAACCTTTGTAAGATTGAGATACCACATCAGTTTTAACAGTTTACGTAATTGAAAATCCGGAAATTGCGACATATATTTACACGGGCACACCTAAGCAAAATCTAGTTCAACCAGCTGTGTGTCAAATATTAAAATGACAACATTCTCATATGTGTCTCCATCACTCTGTGATCTTTAGCATTTTGGCACAATGTCATTAGTGTCAGGTGTTTGCTTAGTAAGCATCTAAAGTGTCAACGTTAGCAAACGACACCAAAAGTGAAGCGTGGTGGTGGCAGCGTCATTCTGTGGGGGAAGCTGTTTTCAGCAGAGACAAGGTTGCATGCCAGACTGGGCGAGATGATTACACAGAATAATCCTGGAATTAATAGCACGTTAGACCTAAACGCAACTGGTACGGAAAGCTTGCAAAACGCTTGCAAAAAGGGCAGAAGTTCAGCTACCAGCAGGACAACGACCCTAAACAAAGGTTTAGAAAAAAGCATACTCATGTGTTAGTATGGCCCAGTCAAAGTCCAAATATAAATCCAATTGAGAGTCCTGGATGAGACTTGGAGAAAGCTTATCATGGAAACTCTGCGTCCAGTGAGACTGAGCTTAAGTCATTCCAGCCACAGAAGAATTGGACGTTTTTAAGTGCAAAGCCAGCAGGAAGAGCCTGAAAAGACTTGCAGCCGTGGTGGCAATGGAAGATGGTTTCTCCAAAGTAATGACCCAGTGGAGTCTGAATGCAAATGCACATCATGCATTTAAGCATTTTAACAGTGGAAATTTGAAAAGTATTAGTCAATTCGCCTTCGCTTCACAATCATGCACGAAAACCCAATAAAAACACACTGAAATTTGTGACTGTAACATGAAAAAAGATTTAAAAAAATAAAAAAGAGGAGAAAATATTCAAGAGCTATGGATGCTAGCAAGATGCATCCACTCATGGTTGCATCCTGAGTCTACAACCTCCTCCGGAAGCCTGAAATGATCCATCTAGGAGCACAGCACGCATAAGTGAACTCACAGTGGAGAATTACTGCGTAAAATAATGATATGACAGCATCCAGCACAAACTCCTCCGATTGTTGTACTGATGGCTTCATAGAGCTGTTGGGCTTTTGGCACAAATATGGGAGGGAAAAAAAAAAAAAAAACACTGAATAATGCTGTGATCGGCATGGAAGGGAAGAATATGGCACACAAATATTCAGCCAAACAGATGCATGCCCCAAGGAGGGGAGGGAATAAAACAGCATTCACCTCCCATCACTATTAGCAAAGATCGGGTTGTGTATTCATAAATAATATAAATGGCAGTGATGAGAACAAAAGCAGTTATTTACTCTATTCCTGTGAATCTCGTAGTAGCCAGTAGTCGCCAGCACAAAATCCAGCATAATAAAACAGTAAACATTTGGATTATTTTTGAGGAGGATGCACGCACCTCGGCTGTTTCCACTTTCCGCTCCGCGTTTTATTTCCATTTAGCAGCTGACCGAAAGGGAAAAATGCACGGCCCTGGATCTCGCCCTCGGGTTGTGGTTGCTACAGAAAATGAACGGGGAAGGAGAGAAAGACACAGAGAGCAAGCCTTATGAGATAGCTTTATAAATAAATCCAAATTTTTTGATAAGTGTGTCAACCATCTGCGATCGACAACCCATGAAAAGGAGGTGCGGTTTTTCTGGACGCATGAAAAACCTCCTGAATTTTGTCTTGGACTCGGATTATGAGCAGAACAATGGTTCCTGGTCTCATCCGCCTCAGTCCAGATCATGGCAAACCCTCTTTCCTGGTTGGTTGACGAAGACCGGATCGACCTAGCAATTCTGCTCATTCACCGCTAGATGGCGACAAAGGCTCTGTTTATATCAGTTTTTATTAGCGTGCTTTAATTAAAGGCAATAAAAAAAGAGACGCGGTGCTCGAGCAAACAAGCTAATTAAGAATAAATAAATAAAATAACTCATATCTTAATTTAAAAAAAACCCTCGTTTGTTGTCTTTAAATAAGTGAATTTTAATGAGGCAAGAAAAAAAAAACACTAACATATTGAATAGTGATACTTTTAAAAAAAGAAGTAAACCTTAACACGCAAAAAACACAAAACTCTAGCTGTGGAAGAAAAGATAATCAGTTTTATTATCTGCTGTTTACTTTTAACTATCTGAAAAATTGACATTTTATAGACATTTAAAAGTGACAATAGTAAGAATTGGGGAAATGTTAAAACTAACTATACAACTCCTTAAAAAACTGAAAAGAAACGAAGTTCAGTGAATGAAGAACTCGTTTTTATTTTCTGTAGATAAAACACAACATAAAAAACATTTAATAATGCCATAATGTAATGTTGCAAACTTAAACTTAACCAAATAAAAAGAAATATGTTAAAAATAATGATAAAAAACAACAAAACAAGTTATTGGTATGTCATTTTGCTCAGGGAGGCACAGACTAGAGTGCATTAGTTTATTTGTACCATCAGTGGTTATAGGCGCCTCCTGTGGTGTGTACAGTGTCACCATTTGTAAACTATTTTTAATTTGATCAAATCCTTGGTATCAACCTAAAGCAGTTAATAGAAAAGAAGGCCAGTATGCCTCTCAAGACACAACCACAAAGACAGTATCCAGAGCAGCGACCACGCACAAAAACGTCCATAAAAGTTTTGCTGTAATAAAAAAACAACCTAAAATGCATACCAGTGCAGTTTCATGCGCATACAAATGAAATGTGCTGTGCTGCTGAAGAAAAGCATCCCCACAGCATGATGCTGCCACCGTTTGTCAGCATGGCGATGATGGGGTCAGAGTGTCCCACCATGTGACAAACTGAACAGGACTTCTTATGAAAGGCGGATTAATAGAGAGCTCCGTTGTCCTCAATAATGTTCTCTTATCTGACCAATGGCGGGTTGAGCCACATGGTTCGGATCCGAGAAAAAGGGTCGGAATTCCCATCACCGGTCCAAGTTCCTCCAATTTCCAAAAGGCAATAAGAGCGCGTCGCCATTCACACGCTCTGCGCATGTGTCCGATCCGTGTGTCAAGATGGAGGCCGACATTGAGGAGACGCCGGAAGCAGCGGTCAGTCTAGAAGACGCCGCCCACCCAAAACACACTGGCGGCGCTACGGGAGGCCGACGCGGAGGGAAGTCGTCGAAAGCCTGGGAGAACATAAAAGGCGTTCGGGAAGTATGGAAACTTCTCAAGGACATCTTTGTGAAGATGAAAGAAAGAAAATAAGCACTGCAGCGAAACTGAATTACTGCTTTCGAGATTGAACCCAGCCGGGACCGCTCCGACAAGTGGGTAACCAGAAAGTAGATGGAGCAACAACAAAACTCAAACTCAAATACATACATAAATAAACTACTTGCAGTTAATGTGTCGTCTTTTCTAATTTGATGAGACAGATATATGAAATCGCTAATTGCTTTATTTATCCACCCCATGGTGACGCTGACACATGGTTATGGCGGCATCATTCTATGGGCATACAGAAAGGGAAAAATAAAGTCAAAATTGTCAAAGTTCAAGGGAAGCTGTAGTTCAATCCAGGAGTTTTCAGAAAGACAAGCATAATCATCAAATACATAGATGTCCATAGCTGGAATGTGATGTAAAAAACAAAAAGTGTATAAATACATTCACAAGGCACTGCAGCTATCAGCAAAAAAAACTCCTCCATGTTAATAACTATTGTCCATTTTTTAGAACCACCAAAAATGCACTGGATTGCTGTAACTGATTATAAATCAAAGTTTAAATAAGAAAATAACGTGATAAAAGTGAGCATAAAATTTAAAAATGTGATTTTAAATACACTGACATGTTCAATCAGGGGCGATTCTAAGATCTGACCTTTAGGGGTGCTTAGCCCCCAGCAGGGCTAAGACCCATGAGAAGATATTTGTTGGTGCGGTTTTCTAAATCTAACTGCTTTTTTACATACATTCACAAACAAAATTAAGAGACATGTCAGTAATTCATAAAATAAAACAATCTGCAAAAAATCACTAAGCATAATATTTTTGCATTACAAATTGCCGTCTGAATAAAGGTGATGATGATACAAGTCTGCTCCCATATACTTGGTTAAAAAAATCTAGAATGGTCTTTACTGTTTTCTTTGGAGGCTGGTTTCTAGTCCAAATTTGGAGGGGCCCAGGTAGTCGGTGTTATTATAATTTCTTCAGAACCCCTCTTGGCTCCCATCTAGAACCGCCCCTGGGCTGCAGGTCTGGTGCATTTTTGCTTAGCATGATTTTTCTTCATTGATAGGAAGTCAGATTATCCAAACTAGTAAAAGTAATAAAATATTAGTGAAATAATACATTAAATGATCACTGAACAATTATTCATAAAATATATCCACAATTCTGAATAAAAACACACAGAAAGTGCTAACAAACGTTTTTAATGTAGGAAATATTTATGTATTTACTGCTAATCTATTAGTATGATTTGTTCTTTAACCCTTGTGCGTGCGAGGACTGAGGCAAACGTTGAGGACTATGGCAAATGATACGTGTGTGGGGTCGGTTGGACCCCATTTTCACATACAAGGGTTAAATAGCCACTTATTTTGGCTAATGCTATTTATTAAATATCATCCAAACTCGACATCCTAAGCAAATAATCAAACCACCATAGTTAACAAAAACAAAATCAACAAAGTCAAACAAAATCACAACAAGAAACCGAATCAATCATAGCAAAATGTTCTGTACCATATCAGTCTCAGGAAATGATTGAGGATGAAGAGTCGCTGATGTCTGGTTCTAACGGGTCTGCAGTTCCTCTCCTGATCCGTTTTGTCTATCATACAGCAGCACACTGTGTGCCACGAGGGATACATTTTTTTGTCGATCTTGCGTCTAGTGTCCGTCTCTAGGCAACCGTGACGTTCAGCGTCGGTGCGGAGCGTTGAGGGGGGTCCTTTAGCTCCCGCCACTAGAATTTAGCTGACCTTAATATTTCCTGTTTTATTTTGGTCATTATTGTTAAAGTTATGACCAAAAGTTTAACAAGTTTTGGTCATATAACAAGTTGTTATATATATATGTACGATAGGCGTATATGTGAACATGTGTACGATAGGCGTGTCTTTCGGACAATTATGGATCGGTTCAATACATTTAACGGCCAAATATGGGACGACTCCGTATTTTACGGGATGAGTGGCAACTCGATTCAGGGGTGCTGAGATACAGTTTTAGGAGTGCTAAAGCACCCCATGTTTAGGAGTGCTAAAGCACCCCTAAAACAGGGCTAGAAACGCCACTGTGTTCAATACTGTATTTATTACAATTCTCCTCTGCCAGTCCAGGGCAGGTCAGATACTGGCCAACCTTTCGTTGTAAATCAATACAAATACAATTAAACTACACCAGCATTTCCCTGGGAACAGTGAACATATAAAAAATAACAAAAACGATTAAAGATGCATTAAACACTCCAGTGAGCTCCCCTCACTGTCTTCTGCAGGATCCTCTCTATCATCTTGTCATATTGCAGTTGTGATGCCAATTTGTAGTATATAATTATAATTTATTATTAATGAAGTTAATGAAGTTCAAGTTTATTTAGCTGAATCTGTCAAGAATTGTCAATAAATGGCTCGACTGTGATGGAGATTTAAAAATCTATTTGTACATATCTACATTATATATCAATATCACATATCATGTGACTATTAAGGCTTAGTCACATGACACAGATTGCCATAAGTAAAAGCAATAATCTGCTAAGCCAATCACCTCCCTCTGACTGGTCTCATTTACATACAGATGTGCCCTCCAGGACGTAAGGAGCAGCAGGGGCAAATCCAAACGTCAGCCAGCAAGACGAAAATGAAAAAGGTTTAGTTTGAATCTACATTGAAAGCAGACTCTGCTCACAAATCCAGCTTACCATTTGATAATGCGAATGCGCACATCGAGAAAGAGGTGTTCTGCTTGTTGCCTAACACAGCTTCGGCCATGTGCTTCTCTGTAGGAAATATTCCGTGCAGTTTTCTAAAGAAGTATTACAATATTAAAAAGGTAGATTAGCTATAAGGACAAAATATCCCACGGGAGACCAAATTTGTAGTCAAACAGTATTTGTAGTAATAGTGACGCTAAATGGGACTATTCTCTTGATTACAGTCTTAACGACATTCGAAACAGTAAAAGTCATTTATGTTAATATGTTTGATTAACATAGCAGCTTAATGAAATAAAATTTACCGTAAACTTCTGAGAAATAAAACACAAAATGAAACTTCTACAGGTATGACGGATTTATAAGAAATCTGCTGACTAAGAAGTATGTGACGTGCCATCCATGCGCGCATTAAAGTAAGGTATGCGCATGCGCACATCTGACAATCACACCTGTTATTGACGTCAATCTGTGACGTATGACTCGGGCTCTGACTTTTCCGCCCGAGGATCACGTGATCAGCCGACCCAATCACCTGCCTCTGATTGGTCTCATTTACATACAGATCTGCCTTCCAGGACGTCCAGCTCCACCGCACCAGGGGCAACTCCTCCTCTTCCACCCGCAGACCGCCAGTTTCCTACCTTCCGCCTCCTCCGGGAAGGAGTAAAAAGTAAAAAGGCCTACATTCAAATACCGTATGTCAATAGGACTGTGACGTCACCTGCACCTGAATTGGCTCAGCTGGTCACGTGATCATCGGTTTTCAAAGTCAAAGCCCGAATCATACGTCACAGATTGACGTCACTGACCGACTCAAGCAGAGTCTTTGAATGTAGGCCCTCTGGGATCATTTGGTCACTAAATCTTTTTTACTTACGAACCAGTTAGACTAGTGTTAGGGTTAGGT